ATAAGATGAACAATATATCATATCACTAAACATAATCATATCACGAAACATAATCGTACTACTACCACCAAATATAATCATGTTTTTCTTGAACACATCACCAAACATTTACATATTTATTTATACCATCCTTTAAAAAAAATATCTTTTTGATACTTATTATTTTTTTAAATTATTTCTTAAAACGTATTATGGTCTAATTATGTAATAACCTCAAAAATAATACTTTGTTTTATTATTTTTGTGGAAAATCTTATTAAGTTGTGTGACTTTATTGAGTATTTTATGAATTTGGTTTGATGTGAAAATATTGGAATTAAGTGAGTTTAATCTCAAATTTAGACTAAAATGCCCTTATGATTAAGTTTATGATTTTTTTCGAATGAAGTAGGCCCGTTTCGGCCCGGCCCGTTGGGCTTAGCCCAGCCAGGCCCAATGGGCTTTCTCAAGCCCGACCTATGGGTTGGGCTTGGGTTTTGAATTTTCTAAAAAAATCCGGCCTGGCCCGACCCGATATTTTCTTTCTCCTCTTTAAAATCCGGCCCGGCCCGGCCCAAGCCTGTTAAATTTGGGCCGGGCTAGCCCGGCCCGGCCCATTGACGAGCCCTAGCCTGGCGGCTGTACGCTTTAAATATATACGAACATTGAAATATATATATATACAGTCCCCTTCAGTTGAGGGATCCCTCAAATAGTGTTATTTGAGGGATGAGGCGCTCAGCCGTTAGATCCCTTTTAATGAGCTTGTGTGGCTGTGATTCTTTTAAATGTTTTAACCCGTTTTAACACTCCATACCCGAAAAAATAAAACACCCGATTGAAACAATAAAACACGCGATGGCTGAAGAATAAGGCACGCACGAAGAAGACGAAGAAGACGAAGAGCCCACCCTTCCAAGACGAAGGAGGAGCTGCCATCTCGAGTTGAGCTTGCCAGAATTCTATGCCAATCAGGTAGGTGTATCCATAGCAGTGTTTATGTTTCGTTCTATATATATTTAAATATTATAGCCGTGCGGCTATATTGCTTAAATATATTCGAATATTTTAATAGTATAGCCACTCGGCGATACGGCTTGAATATATTTGAATATTTAAATCGGTGTCACTCTCACCTTGCACTCAAACCAATTGTCACATGTTTCATTCCAACTGAGACAAGCCTTTCCATACATTTGACAAACATGGACAACTCCTCCAAAGTCAACAATTTGTCGCCAATTTTCAACATGGAGATCGAGAGAGCTGTTCAACTTCGAAGTCCTCGGCACTTGTTCATGGAGATGGAGCAGTTCAAAGGCCACCCTCGCCTGCCGAAATGGTACGACATAACGCTCAAACCGGACCTCACCGCCTGCAGTTTCGGCGGCTCCGTCGCTGTCCACCTCGACATCGTCTGCCGACCTCTCCGTCGATGCCGCTTCCGTGTCTTTCGCTTCCTCCAAGGTACCACTGACTGATCCCTGCTGCCATGCCATGCATGATGCATTTGCTTGCTTGCTTTGGACAATTGGACAATTGTACTCAAGAAAGAAAAAGAAAAAGTAATGAAATGATTTCTGAGAGCAGGTAATTTTCAAGCCTTGGAAAGTTGAGACATTTGAAGAAGATGGGATTTTGGTTCTGGAGTTTGGGGAGACGCTGCCGATTGGTTCAGGAGTTTTGGGCATTGGGTTTGAAGGAATTTTGAATGACAAGATGAAGGGATTCTACAGAAGGTGTGTTCTTTGAATTCTGGGTTCCTTACAACTTACACAGTCAATATTAATTACACTTCAATGGCTAAACTTTGGTTCGTTCATTATATGCAGTACATATGAGCATAATGGTGAAAAGAAAAATATGGCAGTTACGCAGTTTGCACCGGTTTATGCCAGGCGGTGCTTTCCCTGCTGGGATGAACCTGCTTGGAAGGTTGCTCTGTCTAACAAACTCAGTTCAATTAAATATTGATTTGTATTTGTATCTTGTGATTTTGTTGAAAGCAATTCTGGATGCTTCACATTGTTCTAATTGCATCTCTGAGTCTCCTCGGAAGAAAGAGATACGTTGTTTATGATGGTAGTTTACTATAGATGAGAAATCAATCTTCCGGTTGTGGTTAAATTCTTGAACTTCTAGAGTTTGAATTGACCCCGTTTACCCTTATCGGAACTTTCATTGATTGGCAGGCTACATTCAAGATTAGATTGGATGATGTTCCATCTGAATTAGTAGCTCTTTCCAACGTGCCGATTGTAGAAGAAAAAGTGGACTGACATCTGAAGACAGTTTCATTTCAAGAATCACCAATCATGTCTACATATTTGGTGGCCTTTGTTGTTGGGTTGTTTGATGTTAAAGATCATACATCTGATGGTAAACACATACACATTGTCCTTTGTTCTGTGTGTATGCTTGTACAACCTTTCTTCATGGTGTCACATTTCATCTCACCACAGGGGTCAAAGTTCGGGTATATTGTCAAGTTGGTAAGGCAAACGAACGGAAGTTTGCTTTGGACGTTGCTGTCAAGACTCTTGAATTTTACAAAGAGTACGTTTTTGGATCACAAAACTACAAAAAATTACTAATCATTCATATTCAAATTCTAAATTACACTTGATGCATGTTGCGGATTATTAGTTTCTCTAGGTTTTTTTTTCTTTTCCCCTTCCCTGCTAATTCTGCATTATTATATTTGGCATTCAAAATGAAATCATTGACGAAATGTGACAGTTACTTTGCTGTGCCGTACTCTTTGCCCAAATTGGATATGGTTGCAATCCCTGATTTTCCTGGCGCCATGGAGAATTATGGTTTAGTTAGATACTAAGAAACCGCTTTGTTCTTTGACGAACAGCACTCTGCAGCTGCGAACAAGCAACGGGTAACGTACACATCTTGAATGTAACTCTAGCTTTCAGAATTTAGCTTGGTTCATATGATATGTAGCTGTTGTTTTTTAACCATAAAGAATTGTTTTTCATTTGGCTTTTCTGAAAGGTTGCAACTGCCGTGGCACATGAATTGGTGCACCAGTGGTTTGCCAATCTTGTAACGATGGAATGGTGGACATTTTTATGGCCGAAGGAGGGATTTGTAACATGGGTAACACTTCATTTTATTTGTTGTACTTGCTATTTTATATGCTTTTGGACTTAAATTAAGTATTTTAACACCATTAGGTGAGCTATTTAGCTACTGATAGCTTGTTCCCAGAGTGGAAAATGTGGGCAAAGTTTCTTGATGAAATTACTGGGGTTCTTAAGCTGGATGGGCTTGAATGATCCACCTCATTGAGGTACTTCTACGCAGAATCAATCTTTCATGGGTTTTATTTTAGTTCTGTTCTCCAAACTTTTGCTGTTTTGCAGCATCGAACCTGGATAACTTGCATGACAGGCTTCACATAGTAATATTCACCACTATACTTTTCAAGGCATCATTTATTGAAGGGCATTAGTTTATATGTGTTTATGGTATATTATGTTTTAATCTTTCTTCTTTTTGGCCAGGTGGAGATCAATCATGCTGCTGAGGTTGTTGAAATATTTGATGCAATAAGTTATAGAAAAGGAGGTTCTGTTATCCGGATGCTACAAAACTATCTTGGTGCTGAATGCTGCCAGGTTAGTCCTTTGGTTTGTTAGTATGTATCCTTGAAGATTGAAGCAACTATCTTATTTTAAAAAAATTTACATTTACGTCATGGAAATTTCCAAAAAATCAAATGCAGGATTTTTAGAGAACAGAGATCTTGAGGAGATTGTTGGATTGTGATGTGAAATACTGAACTAGCTCAATATCTAGTCTTTTGGTCCAATTGTGTGGAATTTAATCAGTTAATGAAATAGGGTAACCATGAATTTGAGGTTGGGCTGATCTTGACCCTTA